ACTGCCCCCCACAGGGGTGTGTAACCCCCAAACTGCCCCCCCCCACAGGGGTCTGTAACCCCCAAACGGTCACCCACTGGGGTCTGTAAACCCCAAACGGTCACCCACTGGGGTTTAACCCTTCATTCCGCCCCCACAGGGGTATGTAATCCCCAAACTGCCCCCCCAGGTATGTAACTCCTTATGCTACCCCCCATGGGATATGTAACCTTTCATGCTACCCCCTGGGTATGTAACCCCCTCATACTGCCTCCTCGGGGTATATAACCCCTCATACTGCTCCCTCCAGGGTATGTACCCCCCTCACTACTGATAACCACCAGCAGCAGACAGACCCCCATCCTGAAGTGAACCCAAGTATTATTTAAACCCCCGCTGCTACCCTGAACTGCACCTGCAAGCTTCAAACCCCCTATTGCCACAAGTGACACAAATATTATACATTAAGAATCCCTGAATAGTGTCTCTCTGTCCCGGACGTATTGTCCCTGTGTAGTGTCTCTCTGTCCCGGGAATATTGTCCCTGTGTAGTGTCTCTCTGTCCCGGGAATATTGTCCCTGTGTAGTGTCTCTCTGTCCCGGGAATATTGTCCCTGTGTAGTGTCGCTCTGTCCTGGGCGTATTGTCCCTGTGTAGTGTCGCTCTGTCCTGGGCGTATTGTCCCTGTGTAGTGTCGCTCTGTCCTGGGCGTATTGTCCCTGTGTAGTGTCTCTCTGTCCCGGGAATATTGTCCCTGTGTAGTGTCGCTCTGTCCTGGGCGTATTGTCCCTGTGTAGTGTCTCTCTGTCCCGGGAATATTGTCCCTGTGTAGTGTCTCTCTGTCCCGGCGTATTGTCCCTGTGTAGTGTCTCTCTGTCCCGGGCGTATTGTTCCTGTGTAGTGTCTCTCTGTCCCGGGCGCATTGTCCCTGTGTAGTGTCTCTCTGTATTGTCCCTGTGTAGTGTCTCTCTGTCCCGGGCGCATTGTCCCTGTGTAGTGACTCTCTGTCCCGGGCGCATTGTCCCTGTGTAGTTAGCATTGTCCCTGTGTAGTGTCTCTGTCCCGGGCATTGTCCCTGTGTAGTGTCTCTCTGTCCCGGGCATTGTCCCTGTGTAGTGTCTCTCTGTCCCGGGCGCATTGTCCCTGTGTAGTGTCTCTCTGTCCCGGGCGCATTGTCCCTGTGTAGTGTCTCTCTGTCCCGGGCGCATTGTCCCTGTGCATTTACTCCCTGTCTCGGGCGCATTGTCCCTGTGTATTTACTCCCTGTCTCGGGCGCATTGTCCCTGTGTATTTACTCCCTGTCTCGGGCGCATTGTCCCTGTGTATTTACTCCCTGTCTCGGGCGCATTGTCCCTGTGTATTTACTCCCTGTCTCGGGCGCATTGTCCCTGTGTATTTACTCCCTGTCTCGGGCGCCTTGTCCCTGTGTATTTACTCCCTGTCTCGGGCGCATTGTCCCTGTGTAGTGTCTCCCTGTCCCGGTCGCATTGTCTCTGTGTAGTGTCTCTCTGTCCCGGAAATATTGTCCACACAGGGCACATTGTCCCTGTGTATTTACTCCCTGTCTCGGGCGCATTGTCCCTGTGTATTTACTCCGTGTCTCGGGCGCATTGTCCCTGTGTATTTACTCCCTGTCTCGGGCGCATTGTCCCTGTGTATTTACTCCCTGTCTCGGGCGCATTGTCCCTGTGTAGTGTCTCCCTGTCTCGGGCGCATTGTCCCTGTGTAGTGTCTCCCTGTCCCGGTCGCATTGTCCCTGTGTAGTGTCTCCCTGTCCCGGTCGCATTGTCCCTGTGTAGTGTCTCCCTGTCCCGGTCGCATTGTCCCTGTGTAGTGTCTCTCTGTCCCGGTCGCATTGTCCCTGTGTAGTGTCTCTCTGTCCCGGTCGCATTGTCCCTGTGTAGTGTCTCTCTGTCCCGGGCGCATTGTCTCTGTGTAGTGTCTCTCTGTCCCGGAAATATTGTCCACACAGGGCACATTGTCCCCGTGTAGTGTCTCTCTGTCACGGGCGCATTGTCCCCGTGTAGTGTATCCCTGTCTCGGGCGCATTGTCCCTGTGTATTTACTCCCTGTCTCGGGCGCATTGTCCCTGTGTAGTGTCTCTCTGTCCCGGGCGCATTGTCTATGTGCAGTGTCTCTCTGTCCCGGAAATATTGTCCACACAGGGCACATTGTCCCCGTGTAGTGTCTCTCTGTCACGGGCGCATTGTCCCCGTGTAGTATCTCTCATCCTTTATTGGCTTACCAATGTACAATGCCGGTAGTTTTACATCATATTTTTAGGTCTGTCATTTCAACAAACTGTCAGGAAGTTGCGCCTAGCTAATGCCACACCTGTATCAGCCCCTATTTAATTGAATTGTGTCCAGAAGCATATTAATGCTATGTACCACAGGGCAGAGTTTTTACCCACCAGCTCGCAACGCGCAATTGGTGTCCAGCAAAATATCTGGCAGCCGTCTTTGGTTAATAAAAACATCTGCACTGATAACAATGACCACAAATACCGACATAGCTTTCGGCACCCTCACCCACACCTGTACAAGTACAAATTTAGGTCTACATTATGACGTGCATGCTTATGAGTGCAAAACGGTGCACTATCTTTAATACTTTAATTCTCCCATCCTGGTCAGATTTCCGACACCCTGGATTAGTAGTATTTTATCCTCTGCATTACAGATATCGTAGTTTGTTTGTTTCACCATGGTCAAGAAAGCTTTAGCCTTGATAGAGGGAGAAACTCCCGAAAGCTCGTTGTTACAAATTTCTGTTAGTCCTATAAAAGAGGTATTTAAAAAAAAAAAAAAAAAAAAGTCTCATAAACTACATTACTGGACTAATACAGCAATTTAAATATCATGGCATCATGTCATACGCATGGAGGCAATGAAACGCTCAGGCAGTGGGTCCTCTACGCAGCTGGCGACGCAGACATTGCAGTACTTATTACACCTAGACAGACATCTGATTGATGTCATGAGCCCAAAGTCAAATATCTACAGATACAAGCACAAAACCAGAAGTACGCATATACACGTGTGCACTGTTTGCATGTGAACAGGCAGGCTTTCCCTTTAGGAATGGTGGTAGAAGCCGACGTGAAGCCTGGTGGTCTCACAATAGCTCTGTATGGGAATGTCCCCCATCCAACCTTTCCTTAACCATAACCATACAGAGAGGGGAAGGAGTCAAATAATAACAAATATATTTCATTGCCAAAATACATTTTACAAAACACATTTTGACGGACTATGAAAGGGTCCTAATATTTCTGGAGAAAGTGCAATTTATTATGGCCATTTACCAATGGTATAATAAGTATGTAAAGTCTGTCAGCTCCCAGGATGGGTCCCAGCTAACATGCACTGAGCTATAATAATAGAACGAGTATGATGGCATTTCGTGTGTAGGATATAAACATTATTGTAATCTTCATTCTGCATATCTTGATCTACAACTGTTGTCGGACTGCTATAACTGGAGTTTAAAGAGCCTTTGGCGATGGGTGTGTGTGCGCTGTCCTGAGGGGTAATGTTGACAGGTTTGTGACACTGGGGAGGGTCTGGGTGTGTTCCCGGCTACATTCTTTAAGGAAAAGCCATTAAACTAGCAGAACAGGTAAAAGATTCTTAAAATGAGTGTTCAGTGTCAGCACATGTATATTCAATGTACAGAGAACAGTTAGAGATTCACTTCAAAACGTCAGCAATCCACAACATGTGAAGAAGAATTAGCCCTGATATTTTATACAGCAGACAGCTGGGATGTCTACCACGGAGGCAGTGGGCATTTTCTTTTATTGGGGACTTGATTTCGGCTGTGTGGCAACCTTTGTAGGTCAAACTCTGTGACTGGGCTCTAGCAACCGAGAGAAGGTGGAGCTCAGATGGTAGAGTCCGCTGGTGGCGCTCAGAACGTAGAGTCCTCTGCAGGTTCCTAACAAATACATGTATGCTGGATGTTTGTCCATCTTTATTTTGTCACACCTTTTTATATAATAAAATGTGGTCTGTGCATCCTAATATTTTCATAGCCTGTCTGAAATATAGCAAGATGGCAGAGACCTTGTAATCGTTAACACTTTATATCTCCCCTCCCCCCTGCAGAACTGTAATTTTTATTTATGTCAGTTAAAGCAGTTTGTAATTACAGACTGATGATATATTTGCTGTTTATCATAGGCTTCACATAAACACTATTCTTATAATTTTAAAGTAACACATTTGGAATATAATCCTGTTTTCCTAGTGATAGTGTTCCTGTCCCTTGTTGTAGTAAGGTTCCTTTCTTTATAAAAACAAAAGATTTATTAGCCTTTTCCATAGAGGAGAGTTGTGGATATAATGCACTGCAAACACATTCAAACTACCCCGTATTAAAGTATTGTAGTCAGTGCTTCCTCGTAAAGTGACCAGGTTTTACTCGGTCAGTGCAGCTGGCACGACTCTAATGGCTGTAAATATTGACTGCTGTCGAAGTGGATTTAAGCCTGCAATGTAAACACTGCTGTTTTCCAAAGGAAAAAAAAACTATTTCAGGGTTAAAAGGATAGGAGCACTGCACCAAGACAACTTAATTGATCTGAAGTGGTCTAGATGATGATGGTGTCCCTTTAATTGATATGAAGTGGTCTAGGTGATGGTAGTGTCCCTTTAATACATCTGAAGTGGTCTAGGTGATGGTAGTGTCCCTTTAATTGATATGACGTGGTCTAGGACGATAGTGTCCCTTTAATGCAGTGAAGGGCTTAATACAGCTAGTAGAACGGCCATATGATTATGTATTAGCGCTGTCTGTCCTACTTCGAATCTTGTTACTGGTATGTATATATGCTTGGAGTGGAAACACATTGCCTCTGGTTGTGTTTCGGGCCACTGCATTTGCTCCAGGATACAATTGAGGATTTCGGTCTATAGGGTAGAGGAAGTGACTTGTGAGTTCAACACTAATGCATTGTAGCTATTTACATTTGTCAAAATAAATCCAAAGACGTGCTTAAAGGTTCACACTAAGCACCATAACCACTGCAGCAGCTGTAGTGTTGATGGTGCTTAGACTGTCCTTTTGATTTGAGGTTGCTCTATTCATTGTAATGCCTTTTGGTAGTGGACCTGTCACTACAAAAAAAGCATACTTTGTTTTAAAATGTCATTTTGATGTGGCCATAGAACAGTAAATCGATAGTGTCCAAGTGATACGTTGAACAGTATTTTCTATAGTGTCCCATTGATGCAACGTGTACAATATTCTCTATAGGGTCCCAGTGATACGTTGTGTGCAGTATCCTCTATAGGGTCCCAGTGATATAGTGTGCAGTATTCTCTATAGGGCCCCAGTGATACGTTGTGTGCAGTATTCTCTATAGGGCCCCAGTGATACGTTGTGTGCAGTATTCTCTATAGGGTCCCAGTGATATAGTGTGCAGTATTCTCTATAGGGCCTCAGTGATATAGTGTGCAGTATCCTCTATTGGGTCCCAGTGATACGTTGTGTGCAGGATCCTCCATAGGGTCCCAGTAATGCGTTGTGTGCGGTATCCTCAGTCTATAGGATCCCAGTGATACGTTGTGTGCAGTATCCTCAGTCTATAGGGTCCCAGTGATGCGTTGTGTGAAGTATCCTCAGTCTATAGGGTCCCAGTGATACGTTGTGTGCAGTATCCTCAGTCTATAGGGTCCCAGTGATGCGTTGTGTGCAGTATCCTCAGTCTATAGGGTCCCAGTGATACGTTGTGTGCAGTATCCTCAGTCTATAGGGTCCCAGTGATACGTTGTGTGCAGTATCCTCAGTCTATAGGGTCCCAGTGATGTGTTGTGTGCAGTATCCTCTATAGCAGTGGTTCTCAAACTAGTCCTCAAGACCCACCAACAGTCCAGGTTTTGTTAGTATCCCCAATGGAATAAAACAGGGAAATACATAAATCCTGGTCTGTTGGTGGTCCATGAGGACTGGCTTGAGAACCACTGCTCTATAGGGGTCCAGTATGCTCTATAGGTCCCAGTGATACGTTGGGTGCAGTATCCTCTATAGGGTCCCAGTGAAACGTTGTGTGTAGTATTCTCTATAGGGCCCCAGTGATACATTGTGTGCAGTGTTCTCTATAGGGCCCCAGTGATGCGTTGTGTGCCGGATTCTCCATAGGGTCCCAGTGATATAGTGTGCAGTATCCTCTATAGGGCCTCAGTGATATAGTGTGCAGTATCCTCTATAGGGTCCCAGTGATGCGTTGTGTGCAGGATTCTCCATAGGGTCCCAGTGATATAGTGTGCAGTATTCTGTATAGGGCCTCAGTGATATAGTGTGCAGTATTCTGTATAGGGCCTCAGTGATATAGTGTGCAGTATTCTGTATAGGGCCTCAGTGATATAGTGTGCAGTATTCTGTATAGGGCCTCAGTGATATAGTGTGCAGTATTCTCTATAGGGCCCCAGTGATACGTTGTGTGCAGTATCCTCTATAGGGTCCCAGTGATGCGTTGTGTGCAGGATTCTCCATAGGGTCCCAGTAATGCGTTGTGTGCGGTATCCTCAGTCGATAGGATCCCAGTGATGCATTGTGTGCAGTATCCTCAGTCTATATGGTCCCAGTGATACGTTGTGTGCAGTATCCTCAGTCTATATGGTCCCAGTGATACGTTGTGTGCAGTATCCTCAGTCTATATGGTCCCAGTGATACGTTGTGTGCAGTATCCTCAGTCTATAGGGCCCCAGTGATACGTTGTGTGCAGTATTCTCTATAGGGTCCCAGTGATATAGTGTGCAGTATCCTCTATAGGGTCCCAGTGATGCGTTGTGTGCAGGATTCTCCATAGGGTCCCAGTGATATAGTGTGCAGTATTCTGTATAGGGCCTCAGTGATATAGTGTGCAGTGTTCTCTATAGGGCCCCAGTGATATAGTGTGCAGTATTCTGTATAGGGCCTCAGTGATATAGTGTGCAGTATTCTGTATAGGGTCCCAGTGATACGTTGTGTGCAGGATTCTCCATAGGGTCCCAGTAATGCGTTGTGTGCGGTATCCTCAGTCTATAGGATCCCAGTGATACGTTGTGTGCAGTATCCTCAGTCTGTAGGGTCCCAGTGATGCATTGTGTGCAGTATCCTCAGTCTATATGGTCCCAGTGATACGTTGTGTGCAGTATCCTCAGTCTATATGATCCCAGTGATACGTTGTGTGCAGTATCCTCAGTCTATATGGTCCCAGTGATGTGTTGTGTGCAGTATCCTCAGTCTATAGGGCCCCAGTGATACGTTGTGTGCAGTATCCTCAGTCTATAGGGCCCCAGTGATACGTTGTGTGCAGTATCCTCAGTCTATAGGGTCCCAGTGATACGTTGTGTGCAGTATCCTCAGTCTATAGGGTCCCAGTGATGTGTTGTGTGCAGTATCCTCTATAGCAGTGGTTCTTAAACTAGTCCTCAAGACCCACCAACAGTCCAGGTTTTGTTAGTATCCCCAATGGAATAAAACAGGGAAATACATAAATCCTGGTCTGTTGGTGGTCCATGAGGACTGGCTTGAGAACCACTGCTCTATAGGGGTCCAGTATGCTCTATAGGTCCCAGTGATACGTTGGGTGCAGTATCCTCTATAGGGTCCCAGTGATACATTGTGTGCAGTGTTCTCTATAGGGCCCCAGTGATGCGTTGTGTGCAGGATTCTCCATAGGGTCCCAGTGATATAGTGTGCAGTATCCTCTATAGGGCCTCAGTGATATAGTGTGCAGTATCCTCTATAGGGTCCCAGTGATATAGTGTGCAGTATTCTCTATAGGGCCTCAGTGATACGTTGTGAGCAGTATCCTCTATAGGGTCCCAGTGATACGTTGTGAGCAGTATCCTCTATAGGGTCCCAGTGATACGTTGTGAGCAGTATTCTCTATAGGGTCCCAGTGATACATTGTGTTCAATAACCACTATAGGGTCTCAGTGATACGTTGTGAGTAGTATCCTCTATATGGTAGTATTCTCTATATGTGTGTAGTATTCTCTATAGGGTCCCAGTGATACATTGTGTTCAATAACCACTATAGGGTCTCAGTGATACGTTGTGAGTAGTATCCTCTATATGGTAGTATTCTCTATATGTGTGTAGTATTCTCTATAGGGTCCCAGTGATACATTGTGTTCAATAACCACTATAGGGTCTCAGTGATACGTTGTGAGTAGTATCCTCTATATGGTAGTATTCTCTATATGTGTGTAGTATTCTCTATAGGGTCCCAGTGATACATTGTGTGCCGTATTCTCTACAGCAGAGATAGGCAACCTTTTAGTAGTACTGTGCCAAAACAAGATCTTGGTTCCAGAGGTGCTGGGAGTTAAAGGGTTCCAGAGGTGCTTGGTAGGTCTCGGAGTTCAAGGGTTCCAGAGGTGCTGGAAGGGTTCCAGAGGTGCTGGGTAGGTCTGGGAGTTGGAGGGTTCCCGAGGTGCTTGGTAGGTCTGGAAGTGATGGGAATTGGAGGGTTCCAGAGGTGCCTGGTGGGTCTGGCAGTGGCACAGAGAAATGTGTGGTTGGTTGCTGATTGACTAATTTGTGTCTGTCTCTTGCTTTCTAGGTTTCCTTCCATCATGTTCCTCATCAATCAGTATATGGGAGGAGGACGAGGAGGTGGTGGAGGAGTAGGACTTTTTGGAGGGTTAATCAGTGCGCTCAGGTGAGTGTTGCACTTTTGTGTATTTTTTGTTCTTTATTCTAGGACTAGTACAGCCATAATATGACTTGAATACTAGTAGAAGTTATGACGGTACACTAGGTGGCATGGTTTAATGCTAGTTCTCTTATGAATGCTCATGGCTAAAGAATAGATAGGACTACTGTAAGTGCAGTGTGCGGAGACACCATGTTATATAGCCAGAACTTTGAGGATACAGGATCTTTGGTTCACCGTCCATACCTGGTAGGGTTAGCATGTTGTTATGCTCAATTCTCTTCATCTGCTGCTAATAGCCCCTTACACTAACAGGCTTATTCACGAAAGTGAGAATTGTTTGGAATTCTAAATGAATCTAATCTATTTAGTGACAAGCTTTCTTATACTGGTCACTAAGCAGGTTAGGACTCTCCTTTTGGCATTTAAACAAACTCAGCTGATTATGGTGGACTTGATTTAAATCAAATTAATTTAAATTGCTACTTACTAAGAATTGATGTACTATTACTGGCATTTATAAAGTGCCACAAATTCCGCAGCGCTGTACAATTGTGGAAAAAGACAGTACAATATACACAGAAAACAAATAAGGGGCTCAGTTCCACCATATGGCCATATCGTGTTAAAGGACCAATCTAGGCACCCAGACCACTTCAGCTCAATGAAGTGGTCTGGGTGCCAGGTCCCTCTAGGATTAACCCTTTCTTCTATATTTATAAATGGGTTAATCCAGCCTCCAAAGCCTCTAGTGGCTGTCTCATTGACAGCCGCTAGAGGTGTTTGCGTGCTTCTCACTGTGAAAATCACAGTGAGAAGATGCCAGCGTCCATAGGAAAGCATTATGAATGCTTTCCTATGAGACTGGCTGAATGCGCGCGCAGCTCCCACAATCACTTAGAAACCCACACCCTGTCACACTCACCCATCCACAACACTCCCATCCAAACCCCCAACACGGTCACGCTCACCCACCTTCACACCTACTCCCCAAACCCTATCACACTTACCCAACGGATGTCAGTGTGTAAGTACCAGTGGGTGTATCTCTGTGTGTGGCTTTGTGTCTGTGTATTTGCATGTATTAATAACCAATTAAAATGTATACAGATACACCTATTAGTGGATAAAACACACACTTAGTGGGCAATAGATAGAAAATTCTCAGCAATTACCCTTGTACTGTAGATAAGGACTCCTCTCAGTCCTCAAAGCAATATAGAAAATATTCCCATAGGTAATCTACAATACAATCGTAACGGAGAAAAACAATAATGTTGCAACAATTGAGTGTAAAATTTAAGTCCCACTCAAAAACCAGTATTGATTGTAGGCATATCAGCCTCAAGACTTGTGGAACATCATGGCAAATATAGAAGGAAACAAAGAAAATAATAGTGCAGAGTATCTTAATAAAACAACACTTTTTAATAGGAAGGCACACTTACAAGATTGAAGTGGCAAACAGATATTACAGGATCACAGGATCCTAGGATCAGGAAAACCAGAAAACATAAAATATTAGCATAAAACAAATAAGTAAACTTTGTACACTATGAAGCAGCCCTACGCGTTTCGTTCGGTATCCTTTGAACGTCCTCAGGGGCATATAATGAAATTCCTGGTGCGTGGTGTCCAGAAGCTCTTTTAAACCTGTCTAATATTGACACACAGTGCGAACCTATCGGCAACGTACTTCGGGTCCGTCCCTTGTAGTGCTTCCGGGTACGCCCATCTGACGTTTCTGGAAATGCGGCTCAGACCTCTCTTTCAGATTGTATCCAGGCAGACTGACGTGCGCACTTGCGTTGCATTCAACGGCTTGCGTTCCACCACTCGTTCAAGAGCGGAAAAAGTCCATGTTAACCATGAAAGGATAGAAAATATATATATCTCACAAGGCAGCACCAAAATATCAGGATAATAATAAGAGATCCCACATGAAATAATAAATTTTAATTAAAATTTAACAAACCCTAATTAATATATTGCAAGAAATCCCTTCTAATAGGGAAGCAGAATTAAATCGCTAAAGTGTTAAAAAGCAACATGATCAGAAACTAACATTATCAAAAACTGTTAACAAAAAAATGACACCGGAGTAGAAAATGTCAGAATAGTTGGAGACAAATTTAAATCGAAATCAACATTCAGTCCCCTTGGTTGCATTGTTTTTAAAGTATGTATCCAGTAGCCCTCTCTCTTTCTCAATAGTAACACGAGGTCACCACCTCTTTCATCCAGGGTTACTTGTTCAATAATTGTACATTTGAGAGTATTAAAATTAAAGAGGGGGCATTTATTACAATGGAATGGCACTGAATATGTCCACATATGTTTTTTGATGTTATTTCTATGTTCCTGAAGTGTGATTTTTAGCTTTTCTTCCTGTCCTCCCTACATATTGCACATGTGAGAAGGTATACAACATGTGTTGAGGAACAGGACACTGTACCTTTGATTTTAAACTTTTCCTTAGTTTGCGTAGTGCTAAAATTTTTGGTAACTTTATATTGATAATTGCAACTTATGCAGTTCCCACATGTATGAAAGCCCTCTTTTTTTCCATTCTCATTGGTTTAACAACTAAATCTCTTGACCTTGTCTGCATGCTTTTAGTTGGTAATGAATGAGTGGATCTAACGAAGTGTTACTACGTATCTCTCCTTTCTAAACCTCGTCACTGCTTTGCTGCCTAGAGATTAACTTATTTCTAATATAGAAGTATTTCTCTTATCTTTCATCTGTTCACAAATTTTGCCTTAAATCTAGTGTTTTGTATTATTTACACAAGCCACCAGTGCCATCCCATATTTAGTTCTTCGCTCTGTCCTGTCCCCACCAGAACATTGCTTGAACCCTTCCATTTGTCTATCAATAGTTATCTTACCATATCTTCTGCTTTTCCGATCCGACATTGAGGATTCGGTGATACCGAACTAGTTAGGATACAACAGGTTTGAAATGTCTTCAGTGTTAAACAACTTGAAAATAGTTTCATATAAAATAAAGGGGTAGCATCAAAGGGCTCCAGGTACTATAACCATTTCAATAACAGGAAATGGTCATAGTGCCTACAGAGTCCGTTTTAAAGAGCTACTCTGGGATTCAGTTTAATTGCGGATTACGCAATTAAATTATTATTTTTTTCCCAAGATTTTAGAGTCCAGTGTGGAGAAAAACACGCTATGTAAATGAGGACTATGCTATCCAAAGCACAGAACTTCCTTTTTCCTCTGATTAACTTAACGCAGCCCTGCAATTGTAAATGAGGAACCAGGTCCAAAACTGAAGGATAGTTTATTATGGTGACATAGACCATCACTGGTCCTTGGGCTTAAACGAAGAGAACGAAATGATGAAAGAGGGAGGGGTCCATGGGTATTAATATCTAAATATAATCTTTTCAGATTTTTAACCACTTCATGATCCTGGCTAGTTTGTATCTTTTTAAAAGTGAGGCCATTTTATCAGTTTTCCCTGCTTTACCTATTGTAATCTGCAGCTACTAATGTCTGTGAAGGTAAATTGGTGTCCGTCTTGATGTTCGAGAATGCTTCCTGTGTCTAGGATTGTCACAGGTCATGTACCACTTGTTTTAAAGCTAAAAGGTTTCAATGTAGCTATGCTGAGTTGGTAAATTAGAAGGTAGGAAGGAAATCTTTGTAATTACCTGGATGTTGAGCAATCGGTAACAGGATTTGGATTTTCTTGCAGTGATGGAGCCTCAAACTACAGACCAGATCCACCGGTAAGTGACTCCACAGCTGGATTCCACTAACCCATCATCATCGCTTTCTTTCAACTTGACTCTGAGATTCAATCCCATCCAGTCTTCCTTCAGCCCAGGAAACTCTTCCTCCCTTCCTACACCTTCATCCCTCTATAGAACCTTCACAAGCTTTGGCCTAGACTTCCCCTGTCTTCATGTCTTAGTTCCAGAAAACCCCCGCTTCCCCTCCAGCTTTGTCATTGGGGATTCTCTTCCACCCTCCCTCTTTCTGTACTACCAGGACTCCGCAGGGCATTCCTCCCTTCTGACACAAAACCCTTGTTCTGCTCACTGCTTGCCTTGTTGCATGTACCTACCTCAGTTACACTTACTATTCCTTTTTGCTTGTAATATTTTCTTTTATCTCCAGCTATGTATATTTTCTGGAATCTCTTTGTCAATGTATTTTGTCTTCTCATTAGCCACCACGCACTCATTTTTCAAACGTTGAGGCAAATGAAAGTGAGGAGGAAAGACAGTTCCGGCGACTGTTCAACCAGCTGGCTGGGGACGTGAGTTTTCGTTTATTTTAATAGCAAGCTTTGTTATGGGTCACCTTCCTTGCGCAGTCTGTGTGGTGTGTTGGGTGAAGCATTGATGGTAACCTTGGCCTCTTTGTGTATGTTTGTATCCTGCTTTTACATGAGGCAGTGCTTCCAGTCTTTGCTGCCAGTTTTCTAATTAATTTGCCTTTGTGTTTCCAGGATATGGAAGTCAGTCCCTCAGAACTAATGGGAATCCTGAATAAGGTGGTGGCAAGACGTAAGTAAGCTCTGGGAACTGAACACGGTGGTTGGGCTAGGGTTTCTGGCTTACTTCGTATCTACGATATGTGGCCATACTTGCTTATTACTGATATTTCAGCATCATCCATTGCTTACAGGAGATCATAAAGGTTTTTATTTTTTCTAATAATAATGTGCAATATAAGACCTCTGAGGCAGCATGTACCTTGTTTACTGGTTTATAAGATTTCAATAAGACACTCTGTATTGTTTCATTTCCTTTCAGACCAGGATCTGAAGACAGACGGGTTTAGTCTGGATTGCTGTCGCAGTATGGTGGCCGTGATGGATGTATCCTCTTGGTGTTTTGTACGGGAGTTGGCAGCTTGTGCATTCCTGTTTACATTCAGATTCAGAAACACATCAGGCTTAGTATAGTAGGAAGAGGGGCGCTAAGACATTATGTAGGTCAGGGGTATGCAATCTTCTGCACTTCAAATGTTATGGACTACTTCTTCCCTGATTCTTTGCCAGCATGATTGCTGTAAGAGCAATGTAGGGGATGCCGTCCACAACATCTGGCGTGCCGAAGGTTGCCTACTCCTGATGGAAAGTCCTGGGTGGGGTGCCGGAGTAAAGGTGAGTCATTCATGCTTTTCTTGTGTAGGTCGACACGTGCCTGTAGAAACAAACGACACATTCTGCCACAGGATATGCAACTGGGCAGCAGAATCATTAGGTAATAGACCAAGGTGCACCCAAAGGTAACCTATAGAGAGGAAGTGATGATATCATTCAAATGTTCTCGGCTCACTCCTCAATGCAAATGCTTCCCGTTTTGCCAGTATCCCCTTAATAAAGAGGTTAGGAATGATTATATCCTGGACTGTTGGTTGCCCTGGGGGATTGGTTTAGGAAGCACTGGTATAATGTGAGGTAGGTGAACTCATATCGTAACGTGTGTAATGTACCTTTTAATAAACCAGGTGAGGTTGAGGGTGGTTTAGATTTAGCATGTTGAGTTACTAGTATTAGAACAGCAGAGAATTCCGACACATTCGAATATTTCATTTGAACATACAAAGGTCGTACCTTAATCTTTTCTGCACAGAGTGACAGCACCGGGAAACTGGGATTTGAAGAATTTAAATATTTATGGAACAATATCAAAAAGTGGCAGGTATGTTTGCATCAAACCCCACCATGGAGTAAATATGCTAAAAACCTGAGATAACCTTTCACTGCGATATTCATTTTGAATGGCTTTATTTCTTTATAGGGAGTGTACAAGAGATTCGATATGGACCGTTCAGGAACCATTGGTACTAATGAACTCCCAGGAGCTTTCCAGACGGCAGGTATGGCACTCTATCAGACGCCGTGAGCTCTGTAAATTCTTTAAGCATGTGTCTTGAGTTGGGAGACAGTCTACATTGACAGGACTGGGTATAAAACCTTAACCCCTAAAGGACCAACAACACTTTTGATGTCATGTCAATATATTCTTTAAGATTTAAGGTTCATTCATAAAGTATTCAGACTATATCTTTATGTTACAACATGAAAAAAAGTAGTTTAAAACCGGGGAGCTCTGTGAGTGCTGTGAAGTACAAATGGTTTTAAAGGTCAAAGGAAAAAACTGAACGTGGGGTAAAGGAAAAAAAAAAAAAGTCCTCTCTTTCCCGTCTTGGACTCAGGACGTCGGGCAAGGAGTTCCAAATCCTCATCAAGAAATGCAAAGAAAAATCAAAAAATGTCAGAAGTGAGTGCTCTCATACAGAAAGGAACATGGCGGGGAAAGCAAAAGCCAAACAATATATATTTTAATTTTTTTTGCCTTTGTTTCCCCAGTTTGTTAATGTACCTCGTGGAATAAACCTTTCCTTTTGGATTCGGAGCGCTTTTTTATGTTGCAGCCTTAAGCTACAATTGTTTGAATTGACATTTTGTTTTACATATCGATCTACTCGACATCCCATAATAACAAAGCAAGAAACAGATTTTAATCATTTAAACAATTGTAGCATAAGGCGGCAGCAGCATGTAAAAATGAAGGGGTCTGAATACTTTGTATAATGAAATGACTGATGTAATGATGACCTCAGGTCTGCGTAGAAGGAGGACTTTATTTGTGGCGTATTGTCTATATTGACCGGATTTTGGGGACAGCGAATTGGACCAATTGGTTCTCAGGAGGTTAATACTCTGTTTCTGTCCACTTCTCAGTGGGTAATCTTACAGTGACCATGTCAGATGACATGGTGGGTGATACTGGTGACAGACGGCAGTGAAAGTGTGTCTGTAAAAGATTTTATAAAGGGTGGGAACAATGTTAGCGATATTCACCATTCTCTGAATTGTCTGTTTAGGCTTCAAGCTGAACCCCCAGCTCTATCACATGATTATCCGTCGGTATTCCGATGAGAAAGGAGAAATGGATTTTGATAACTTCATCTGTTGCTTAGTGCGACTGGACGCCATGTTCCGTGAGTAACCAGCAGGGATTCCTGTAAACTCTTTTCTACCTGATCTGTTTGGGAAAACAGAATAAAGGGTCTAATACAAAATGCATCTGAAATCCAAAAGCTGAATTAAAATCCGATAAGGAGGAGATGTAACTGGTAGCGTTATTAGATTCTCTAGTTTTTAATATATGTAATAAAATGCCATGTGACTAAATACATCCCAGAGGATAAAGGCATTATCAAGACACTAATATAATGTGTAGCTTATTGATATTGTTTTATATTAAGTGTTATTGTGTGTCTCTATATATTTAGTGTAAATTTTTAGAGTTTAACAGAAAGACGCTTACGTGTTTTAGTAACAAACCATAATTAATTCTTGTCTCTGGTTATATTTATTTTATTTTAATGTCTGAGATCCTTTACTAATCATTTAGTCTATCAAGCTACAATTAATATAATTTGGTATTTCTAAGAATTATGAATGGATCAGGCACTTGTTCCGGTGTTTGTTCAGATGTAGGTCTGACTAAATCCAATGTGCTTAGAGTAGTGGCGTGTATAGCTTATGGATTGCATATTCGTTCAGTCTAGGTCCTTCTGTCCCGGCATGTGTACTCGGTCACATTCTCACCATTATTTTTGTTTTTAGGTGCATTTAAAGCTCTGGATAAAGATGGAGATGGTCAGATTAAAGTGACCATTCAGGAGGTGAGTATATTTATTCTATGTACAGGTAACAGATGGTAATATCTATACCTGCATTTGTGTCCCATTTTATTCCTCCCCCAATATTCTACCGAATTTCATCCATAATTACTTCTCCTTCTTTCTACAGTGGCTCCAGTTGACCATGTACTCCTGAGCGTTCCACGAAGCATGAAAGGTCTTCAGATATTTCTTGATCACTCCCTCTGTCCTTGATGATGTATACCGATCTCGTTTTATATATCTATTGTACGGCAAGAGACTGTAAAGTTTTTCACGTTTAGTTTACAGAACCGTACAATGCATCCATAAAGGATTATTGCTATGTACTTCATGTTACATGAAGGAAATAAACTTACATTCTGCTGTGTGAGAGTCTGTAATATGTGAACCAGTAACGTAGCAGCCATTTACTTTTTGGTTCTGTTTTAATTATTCTAACTCATGTTCATAATCCTGATACTGTATTTTAAATTGCATTAAAGGGACATGATGGGAACCAAAACCACTTTAGTTTAATGAAGCCGTTTTGGTGTATAGATTATGCCCCTAAATTCCCTGCCATTTAGGAGTTAAATCAGTTGTGTTTCTGTTTATGGAGCTACACCTCCCCCGACTGACAGAAACCGCCTACATTTTCAATCAGATGTTAAAGGACCACTATAGTGCCCTGAGGGTGCCCCCACCCTCAGGGACCCCCTCCCGCCCGGCTCTGGGGAGAGGAAGGGGTTAAAATCTTACCTTTCTCCAGCGCCGGGCGGGGAGCTCTCCTCCTCCTCTCCGCCTCCTCTCCTCCCCTTCGGCTGAATGGGCATGCGCGGCAGGACCTGCGCGCGCATTCAACCGGTCACATAGGAAAGCATTCATAATGCTTTCCTATGGACGCTGGCGTCTTCTCACTGTGATTTTCACAGTGAGAAGCACACAAACGCCTCTAGCGGCTGTCAATGAGAGAGCCATTGGAGGCTGGATTAACCCATTTATAAACATAGCAGTTTCTTTGAAACTGCTATGTTTATAGAAGAAAGGGTTAATCCTAGAGGGTCCTGGCACCCAGACCACTTCATTGAGCTAAAGTGGTCTCGGTGCCTAGAGTGGTCCTTTAACTTACTTTAGAAGTGTCTCCTGCTCAGTAAATTGAATTTTAATCACAAACAGAAGGCTCCTGCAGGGTTTAGCAAGCTATAAACAGAGCAGGAGATAATACATTCTAAATTGAACAGACTGTGTAAAGGATGTTTAACCCCTTAAGGACCAAACTTCTGGAATAAAAGGGAATCATGACATGTCACACATGTCGTGTCCTTAAGGGGTTAAACATTTCTCTCTATACTCTCCTCTGGGGAACTGCCAGGTAACCAAGTTCCCCAGCATCCAACTGGTTGCGATCGGAGTCAAGTGATTACGGTGACAGCCTGTCACTGCAATCACTGATACAATGACATGGTCAATGATTTGTATCCCTCAGTGTGATCGGAGACTAGAGAGGCTGGCAAAGTTCCAAATGTTTGTGTGAACACTATTACTGCTCTGGGTTTTCTGGGGGTTTGTTTGGTGGGTGGGGTGAGGGTCTGTCAGATATTTTTGTATTGGTTAATATCTGACACTCTCTTTTTTCATAAATTTAACCCGGTGGGGGTGTTTGTGCTGACGCGTGAGTCAGAGGAGAGCGACTCCTATTTGAAAGTGCGTTACTGTGTCAGAGGTAGGTCCCCCTAAGTGAGCTTTTTCCTGATGGGGCTCCCACTGTAATACCATCCAGGAGGAGCTCAGAACGCTGCTCTGTCTTAGCATATCTGGGTACCACCAAATTTTTTTACCCTTTTATTTACACCCATTTTTGGCAACCCCTAGCATCACAACCAAGTTTGATAAGGGTGAGCCAGGAAATTATTTTAGCCTGTTTATGCTGGATGGCATATTTGAATTTACGGCTGTGCAAACAAACTTGTATGCCAGCCAATATCTCGCTGCCAATACTGAATCTCACTACAGTAGGAAGAATATGTGGCACCCCACTGACTACACTTAAATGAGGAAGTGAAAAAAGAGTGTGAACTTCGTAGATGTACTACCAACACAAAGATCACTCTGTGGAGCGCTATAGATAGGGAAATATCTTACCCCTATATAAATATCGTAAATATCACTTTAACAGCATATAAAATCTAGGACAGAGAAATACACATCATAGTGCAGAATGATTGTAAAATGTGTATGGAATGGAGGAGAGTGTAAGTCCAACTCACATGGCACAGAGCCTAAGGATTGGCTCGAATCACAACAGCTTGGGTATATTTAGGCAATACCAGACCTCCTCCCGATATGCAGCTCGCAGAATATATGGAAGAGAAAAGAGGTAGAATTCCTAGTGCAAATACGTATGGTAGGAAGAGTGATCACAAAAAATCATATGAATGTGCTCACCTGAAATAGAGCCAGTAATATTAGGACTTTATATATATATGTGCCACTTTGCCTTTAAGGGAGGTACTACCCTTCTTTGATGAAATACAGGAAGCAGTAGAAGATATTTCCCTATCTCTAGCGCTCCACAGAGTGATCTTTGTGGTGGTAGTACATCTATGAAATTCACACTCTTTTTTTTTTTCACATATCTGTTTGTGTAGGATTGGGATACCTGCACGTGTGTTGAGCTGCTGTTTTTAATTTGCATTTCCACTAAGCGCCTATTTACACTGAGCACTTTTTTTTGTATTAAATGATGAAGTGCTGATGCTGCTAAAGGGGATTGTGACAAAGCCCAGTGTTAGGCGTTATTGGTATAAGCACCACATCCTAGCTACCCCTCTTTATTGGGGGATTATAAATTGGGATAGGTAAGCGCATAATCTTTTTTTCCCCTCTATTTCAGTGATATTACCTGGTGCCCACGTAGAAATCCCCCACCACCTAGTATGGCCCATCTACACAAAATTAGGACCCTAAATTTACCCGGTACTGGCTGGAGGAGAGGTCACTGGTGGCAGCTCAGTCTTCATGCTACTCACTGCCCATTCGTGGGCGCCATCTGTAGTGATGCCTGGTGCCGGAATACAACGTCATTCCGGCACCAGACATCACTAAACTGCACGCGGAGGAGCAGGAAGATTGCACTTCTGAGAAAAGACCCCAGGGAGCTGCCCTACACCAGCTCCCAAAGGTAGGGAGCAATAAAGAAAATGTTAGTGTGTGCAAGAATGTGGAATTGAGTGTGTGTCTGTCAGAGAGTGAATGCATGTGTTGTGATGGCTACAGCTGGACAGTGGAGGACCTGGAGGTGCACAGAGGCACGCAACGCCACGCCATTCCGACGTGACGTCAACATGCTCCACCTTTACAGGTTTTCAAGGAGTAGCGGGAGGATCCGCTTTGGCACAGGGTGCGGATGGCGCCATTGGGGGGGGGGGGGATATATCAAAGGTTGGACTCAAGTTGCATACTGGCAGCGGCCATGTGAGTGGAGCCTGCTTGTTGGTTAACATTGGTCTTTGTTTTTTTAAAACAAGGGCCTGTTAGTGTTTTAATATTCATCCTAACAAGCATAGTGTGGGGGGGGGAGGGGAGCTGCTGTTCTTGTTTTTACTGTACTTTTCAAAACAAACATACGTTTCTGTGAAAACTTAAGGGTTTTTTTTTGCAGCCCACATAAACTTAAACCTTGTTTATTTGGCCCATGCTAGCCTTTGAGTTTGAGATACTTGGTGTACAAGTATCAGGACTGGCTATCCTGCTGCTATTACCACATACATATTACTATCTGTGTACTGTGTAGGAACAATCATTCACACAGACGGCAGATTATTGGAATTTTAATAAAACATTTTTCTATTCACAGCAGATAATCTGTAACCATAGACGATATGGACTCATTTCGCGTGCTTGGGTCTTGCCGCCTTAAACAGCTCAAACAAGGAAAGACATGTTCCTGAAACACATAAATAATGCATATATGTTACAGGGCTATCATACAACATCGTGCAAACCGTACATGGATAGCACACGGGACCACATACAGTATATAGATATTCAATGGCACGCACACTGTACGTAGTATCATACAATGCTTTGCAGACTACACACAAACATTATATAATGGACACTGATCTCAGAAACAGCAAGACATAGAATTGGAGCTTCAATTTTCTAAATAGTGGAATATTTTATGGTTTATATTTCCTCTGATTCTCCATCTGACATTTACAGTTTTTTTGGGGACTTTTGTATATATACATTTTTTAACGAATATAGAGCAGGATAAAGGATTGAATATCTTTACCTGCAATGCTTATGCCCATTGTGATGCGAAATAAAATGACGTCTGATGTCCCTCCTTTGGTATGCACAGGTAGGTTGTTATCTTCCTGGAATCAGAAATGGAAATAATGTCAGAACAGAATTTGCCAGACCTACGACTATCAGGAACAAACTGAAAAGATAATCACATATAAGAAACTAAAATAATACATTTGGAATGGTGAGGGGTAGGAGGGGGGCTATTGATAGGGGTAATGGATTTAGATGGTGATGGTTGAGCAGTAAGAGTGGCATGCTGACATTCCATACAAACGTCTCCCCTTGAATAAACCCTTGCATTGATACACACTGACTCTCTTAACAGACTGTAACAGGGTAGACTGGGCATCTGATACTGGATCCCTGAAATAACATGACAGGACACACTACTACAGAACTGCAGCACAGTACAACATTCGCTAACTTCCAATCTTCTGGGACTAATCCTGTCTGCATTACCATCATATACAAATATATGCAAAATCTATTCAAACATGTTGGTGGCTAGGAATGTACAGCCAGTAGATGGCCAATCCCAGCATTCAGTCACAGTGTGCCCCCCATATGTAGATCCATACATTCGCACACACACTGCACCTCCACAGAAATAAATTCTCATTTTCAAGCCCCAGGTGCTATTTTTATAACATTCGGTAGATATGCCCCCACCTGCCATATGGCATATAGAAACACAATCCCTCCATTATAGTAATGTTGGGGTTTTATTTACCCCCATTGGATTTTTCTTTATCAATGTTGCGGCTGCCTAGCAAGCGCTGGCAAACCATCACATAATTAACCCTTCCGCCACAGAAGGTTTTTTTTTTTTTAACTATTTGCTGACTAGCTGGTAGTGCTGCCAGCAGGCTAACATTTGGAATATTATATATTTTTTTAAAATCTGAGTTTGGATTAGTAGATCCCGGCTCCGGATTTGAAACAGTTCTTCCGGATATCAGCCGTTCAGTGGCAGTCAGTCCGGATATAATCTGGACTAAATTAAGGCCCATTTGGGGGAGTGAACCATATCTGAGTTTTTCAGCAATGGCCCCATACAACAGCGAATGAGTTTGCTCAATTCGGTATGGGGTCATTTAACATTTTGTGATTATTATTATTTTTTTTCATTTTGGCTCTTTTTGCCATGAAAATTAAATTTACTTTGAGATCTGAATTTAGTGAATAACACTGTAAGATTTCTTTGCCCCCCTGGACCAGCAAGGCTCTACAGCCATATATGTTTAGTGTCCCCGGTCCCTCCACCCAATGACACCCCGAGGACAATAAGCGTCACAGACAGTTATGTGTTTTGTTCAGATTTTTATTGCATTTATTTTTTTGCACAGTTTCTAAAATCTAATTAGTTTTGATGCTTTTTTTGTGCCCTAACCATAATCATTTTTCATTTTTTCGTTGCATTCTTTCCGTCATTTTCCCCAACTTTTCCCTACCTCGAAAACTTTTCTAAAATGGCAGAATGTAGATTGAGAAAAGCCAACACTTTTACACCATTTTTAAAACAATTTAATAAATATGAACGGTTTGGAGACCAAAAATAAAAGCAGTATTTCAGATCACTTTAATAAATCTCTCCCACTGGCCAAACACATCATTTTATATGATAATAATGCAATCCAAGGTCCTACTAAAGTTACCGTTTCATAGAGTCTGTAACTGGTGGATCCATTAGGTTTTTTGCCCTTAGTTTTGAGGTGTCATGCTGCCACCTACAGGTTAATGTTGAAACTAGTGCAGGTTGGTATTTTCTTGTACTAGATCACTCTCAATATATATATAGTACATACCAAAAGAGTTGTGGTGGGGAAAAAAAGTGTGGATAGAAACCCCTTCCATCTGAAGTAAGTGGATTATGAGTCAAAAATGTGGTTCTTTGTTGAGCTCATTTGCATACCCAGAATCCCTTGCAGTAATGAGGGCACTGTTAAAGTGAGATTTCTGTGGGAAAAGCAAGTCTTATGGCTTGCCTGGTGTGTGTATTTGTGTTTAGCAATGTATTAAATATATATATATATGTACCAGTGAAACATTAGATTGTGACTTGCCTTGAACAAGTATTATAGAAATCTAACGATGTGTCTAACCTGGAATATCTTTTGTTTCTCAATAACTCTGTTCTGGATGCGCGTACGGGATGACGTGGCGAAACTCCTCGAAAGACGCTGTCCAAAAACCTTATAAGAAATAAGATGATGATTTGTAGAAACAAACCTCTAACTTGTAAAGAATTCTCAATAAAAGACATTTCACCAGTTTGTAAAACTGTGGAAGCAAAATGTTGGCATTTAACTAAAATAATGTTCTTTACTTCTAAATGACCAATAAGTGAGATGGCCTTGGTAAGTAGCCGGCAGGCGTGTAAGTTGGGTAGGTTGAATGAGGACAGTTTAGATCAGATTGAGGGGATTGTTTTTTTTTTTTTTTTACTGTTTTGGATTTTTTTATTTTTTTTATCTGGATAATCTCACAAAGTTACTGAAGAGTTTTCAGATCAAGGCCTCGGTTTATTATTTTTGGATAAGCGTTAATCTAAATATTAAATAATTTTAAAAGTTTACAAAGAATTATAAAAAATTGTCTGAAAAGCTTATTCAAAAAGATTAAATTGCGATCACTACAATGTATCCTCGTACAAACCTCGTAAAGGTAAATCTATGGTTTAATTCTTGGTAACAGTGATAAACGAGTTGGGAGGGATTATCAGAATTTAATATGTGTGGCGTGACATGTGAGTTGTGCATCTGTTTTATTTTATTTATTGGCACATATATATAGGGTAATTGACACACAGGTCCGGTCTCTCTGTATGCGATGTGCACTTTGACTGAGAGGCCATGACTCCTGTATATGTGGGAGGTAGGCCATTGTGTGAAGGAAGTGGACAGAAAGTGGGACTCTCGTGAGGTCCCTCTGTCAATATAAACAAACTGCGACGTCACTTCCAGCATGTTTTGTACCACGTCATTCCTGTGACTTTGTACTCACACATTTTGTGGTCGCAGGGTGATGTGGACCAATCAGAAGGCTCCTGTGTATATATTGCAGTCGTGGTTTCCATTTTGGTTATCGATCATTTTCCTGATTTCCTGCCCGTGTCTTGTTATTGACTCTGTATCATTCTATATTCCTGACCTTGGCTAGTTTATTTGTATTTCCGTACCTCTGTGAGCCTGACCTTGACTTGTTCCTGGTTATGATTTTCTCTCTATCCCGCGTTCAGTCCGGCCATTCGAAGGACTGGTAATACGTTTATTAAAGGACCACTCTAGGCACCCAGACCACTTCAGCTTAATGAAGTGGTCTGGGTGCCAGGTCCTTCTAGGGTTAACCCATTTTTTCATAATTATAGCAGTTTCAGAGAAACTGCTATAATTATGAATGGGTTAAGCCTTTCCCCTAATCCTCTAGTGGCTGTCTCATTGACAGCCACTAGAGGCGCTTGCGTGCTTCTCACTGTGATTTTCACAGTGAGAGCACGCAAGCGTCCATAGGAAAGCATTGTAAATGCTTTCCTATGCGACGGGCTGAATGCGCGCGCAGCTCTTGCCGCGCGTGCGCATTCAGCCCAGGAGGAGGATCGGAGGAGGAGAGGAGGCAGAGAGCTCCCCGCCCAGCTCTGGAAAAAGGTAAGTTTTAACCCCTTTCCCCTTTCCAGAGCCGGGTGGGAGGGGGTCCCTGAGGGTGGGGGCACCCTCAGGGCACTATAGTGCCAGGAAAACGAGTATGTTTTCCTGGCACTATAGTGGTCCTTTAATTCTAAAGATCCTGATCTAAGTTTTGCGTGTTGGGGTACTGACTCCTGACAATTGTTTTATATTTCATATAGAGTCAAAGTTTGTCACTCTCCCTAGAACCTCGATCCCATAGAAAGCATTTTCCCCAACTTTTCCCTACCTCGAAAACTTTTCTAAAATGGCAGAATGTAGATTGAGAAAAGCCAACACTTTTACACCATTTTTAAAACAATTTAATAAATATGAACTCTGTATTGTATGTTACTGGGTCAGTATAATGTTGCAACCATCTATAGTAGGTCAATACAAAGGTGTAATACTCTGCATTATGTTAGTGGGTCAATATAAAGGTGTAATACTCTGCATTATGTTAGTGGGTCAATATAAAGGTGTAATACTCTGCATTATGTTAGTGGGTCAATATAAAGGTGTAATACTCTGCATTGTGTGTTAGAGGGTCAGTGTAAGGTGTAATACTCTGCATTGTGTGTTAGAGGGTCAGTGTAAGGTGTAATGCTCTGCATTGTGCGTTAGAGGGTCAGTATAAGATGTAATGCTCTGCATTGTGTTAGTTGGTCAGTGTAAGGTGTAATGCTCTGCATTGTGTGTTTGTGGGTCAGTGTAAGGTGTAATGCTCTGCATTGTGCATTAGAGGGTCAGTGTAAGGTGTAATCCTCTGCATTGTGTTAGTTGGTCAGTGTAAGGTGTAATGCTCTGCAGTGAGTGTTAGTTGGTCAGTATAAGGTGTAATGCTCTGCATTGTGCGTTAGAGGGTCAGTATAAGGTGTAATCCTCTGCATTGTGTGTTAGTGGGTCAGTGTAAGGTGTAATCCTCTGCATTGTGTTAGTTGGTCAGTGTAAGGTGTAATGCACTGCATTGTGTGTTAGTGGGTCATTATAAGGTGTAATGCTCTGTATTGTGTGTTAGAGGGTCAGTGTAAGGTGTAATGCTCTGCATTGTGCGTTAGAGGGTCAGTATAAGGTGTAATGCTCTGCATTGTGCGTTAGAGGGTCAGTGTAAGGTGTAATGCTCTGCATTGTGTTAGTTGGTCAGTATAAGATGTAATGCTCTGCATTGTGCGTTAGAGGGTCAGTGTAAGGTGTAATGCTCTGCATTGAGTGTTAGAGGGTCAGTGTAAGGTGTAATGCTCTGCATTGTGTTAGTTGGTCAGTATAAGATGTAATGCTCTGCATTGTGTTAGTTGCTCAGTATAAGATGTAATGCTCTGCATTGTGTTAGTTGCTCAGTATAAGGTGTAATGCTCTGCATTGTGTTGGAGGGTCAGTGTAAGGTGTAATGCTCTGCATTGTGCATTAGAGGGTCAGTGTAAGGTGTAATGCTCTGCATTGTGCATTAGAGGGTCAGTGTAAGGTGTAATGCTCTGCATTGTGTGTTAGAGGGTCAGTGTAAGGTGTAATGCTCTGCATTGTGCGTTAGAGTGTCAGTGTAAGGTGTAATGCTCTGCATTGTGTTGGAGGGTCAGTGTAAGGTGTAATGCTCTGCATTGTGTGTTAGAGGGTCAGTGTAAGGTGTAATGCTCTGCATTGTGCATTAGAGGGTCAGTGTAAGGTGTAATGCTCTGCATTGTGCATTAGAGGGTCAGTGTAAGGTGTAATGCTCTGCATTGTGTGTTAGAGGGTCAGTGTAAGGTGTAATGCTCTGCATTGTGCATTAGAGGGTCAGTGTAATGCTCTGCATTGTGTGTTAGTTGGTCAGTGTAAGGTGTAATGCTCTGCATTGTGCGTTAGAGGGTCCGTGTAAGGTGTAATGCTCTGCAGACTCATACAGTTTTAGTTGGCCCATGTGGTGGAAACATACCTGTCTTATTAACTAGGCCCAAAGCCACTACCAGCAATAAATAATTTCTTGTTGTGCCTTATATATTATATGATCTAAAACATAATATATGCAGTAAATATTATATAATATTAGAGTCAAAGAACTGACTGAAGAACAGATTGCTAAATAATGTCCATGATTTGTGTCTGTCTAACTACTGCCAACGGCTTGGACAAGGTGTAATGCTCTGCAGTGAGTGTTAGCGGGTCAGTGTAAGGTGTAATGCTCTGCATTGTGTGTTAGAGGGTCAGTATAAGGTGTAATGCTCTGCATTGTGCATTAGAGGGTCAGTGTAAGGTGTAATGCTCTGCATTGTGTGTTAGTGGGTCAGTGTAAGGTGTAATGCTCTGCATTGTGTGTTAGTGGGTCAGTATAAGGTGTAATGCTCTGCATTGTGTTAGTTGGTCAGTATAAGGTGTAATGCTCTGCATTGTGCGTTAGAGGGTCAGTGTAAGGTGCAATGCTCTGCATTGAGCGTTAGAGGGTCAGTGTAAGGTGTAATGCTCTGCATTGTGCATTAGAGGGTCAGTGTAAGGTGTAATCCTCTGCATTGTGTTAGTTGGTCAGTGTAAGGTGTAATGCTCTGCAGTGAGTGTTAGTTGGTCAGTATAAGGTGTAATGCTCTGCATTGTGTGTTAGAGGGTCAGTGTAAGGTGTAATGCTCTGCATTGAGCGTTAGAGGGTCAGTGTAAGGTGTAATGCTCTGCATTGTGTTAGAGGGTCAGTGTAAGGTGTAATGCTCTGCATTGTGCATTAGAGGGTCAGTGTAAGGTGTAATGCTCTGCATTGTGTGTTAGAGGGTCAGTGTAAGGTGTAATGCTCTGCATTGTGTGTTAGAGGGTCCGTGTAAGGTGTAATGCTCTGCATTGTGCGTTAGAGGGTCAGTGTAAGGTGTGATGCTCTGCATTGTGTATTAGAGGGTCAGTGTAAGGTGTGATGCTCTGCATTGTGTATTAGAGGGTCAGTGTAAGGTGTGATGCTCTGCATTGTGTGTTAGTGGGTCAGTGTAAGGTGTAATGCTCTGCATTGTGTGTTAGAGGGTCAGTGTAAGGTGTAATACTCTGCAGTGAGTGTTAGTGGGTGCATAATGCTGCAATATGAAGAGTCCCATTATTTACCAGGTAATTCCTCATGTTGCCGGCCCTCTGTCCCAGCGTCTCTTGTCGTTTCTCGTCTCTCAAGGACAGTTACAGATGATTGCTATATCTGGCCCTTCCTTCACATGTGACCCCTCTCTGATTACAGGCACTGGTGACAGAAGGGGACAGGAGGGACACTGTCATGTCTGTAAAGCTGCCAACATCTAGCATTTTATTCCTGGACAATTTCCGTGTGATGTTCCATGGAGACAATTAATAAATATGACATTGTAATTTGTGGTTTAAGAGGAACACAGCAGCTACATGACAAACTTAGAATTATTGTAAAAATTCATTAAATCATTTTATCTCCACCTCATCTCCCACACACATGACGACACGATGACGCTGCACTGGGGAATGGTAGACACCTGGGCCTCAATTTAGTATGCTTTTTGGTAAGCTTTCCAAATGATTAAGAACTGTTAGAAAAACCTTCTAAATGATTTATCTACAAAATTTCCCAATTCCAAATTGGCCTCCAAACTCCTACAGGAAGCAAAAAAGCAAAAACGTCAATACAACGATTCGGCACGAATGCCTTACTCATGTAAAACAAACTGTCCCGTAGTGGCCATACATAAACATGCTGAATGGGACACTATAGGCATCAAAAAATTTTAGCTTAATGAAGTAGTCATGGTGTATAGATCATGCCTCTGCCGTCTCAATGCTTATTTAGTAGTTAAATCACTTTTATTTCTGTTTATGCAGGTATAGTCACAACTCCCCTGGCTGCGACTGACACAGCCTGCATGAAAAAAATGGGTTACTTTTCAATCAGATTTTAACTGACTATTTACAGGAAGTGTTTAGGAAGGGTGTGTAAGTCACATGCAGGGAGGTGTGACTAGGGCTGTATAAACAAAGTGATTTAACTCCTAAATGGCAGAGAATTGAGTAGTAAGACTGAAGGGGCGTGATCTATACACCAAAACTGCTTCATAAAGCTGAAGTTGTTTTGGTGCCTGTAGTGTCCCTATAAAATGGGGGCCTTTGATAAAAAAAAGACATTTCTTTGAAAAGCATAAAAAAGCAGAGATGTGTAAAACTAATGAAATCATAAGCTGTATACAGTTACATACTGTGATATGTAAGCCATTCAGATAATTATTAAGAAAGGGCAAATATAAACTTTTCATATGATAAAGAAAAACTACAATGTATCTATAGAAATAAATAGGCAATAAATACAAAATACATTTATTATATTGTAACAACATCAATAATGGCATGATGGGATTGTGAGCCCCCACCCCCTGTAAGTGAGCCCCCACCCCCCTGAGCAAACATAATGTAATGTGGTGTATTATTGTGTAATATGGTGTAATAATTGTGTAATGTGTGTGTAATGTGGTGTAATATTGTGTAATATGGTGTAATATTGTGTAATGTGGTATAATATTGTGTATTATTGTGTAATATGGTGTAATATTGTGTAATGTGGTATAATGTGTATTATTGTGTAATATGGTGTAATATTGTGTAATGTGGTATAATATTGTGTATTATTGTGTAATATGGTGTAATATTGTGTAATGTGGTGTAATATTGTGTAATATTGTGTAATGTGGTGTAATATTGTGTAATATGGTGTAATATTGTGTAATGTGGTATAATATTGTGTAATATGGTGTAATGTTGTGTAATGTTGTGTAATATGGTGTAATATTGTATAAGGTGGTGTAATATTGTGTAATGTTGTGTAATATTGTGTAATGTCATGTAATATGGTGTAATATTGTGTAATGTGGTATAATATTGTGTAATGTGGTATAATATTGTGTATTATTGTGTAATATGGTGTAATATTGTGTAATGTGGTGTAATATTGTGTAATATTGTGTAATGTGGTGTAATATTGTGTAATGTGGTATAATATTGTGTAATATGGTGTAATATTGTGTAAGGTGGTGTAATATTGTGTAATGTTGTGTAATGTGGTGTAATATTGTGTAATATGGTGTAATATTGTATAAGGTGGTGTAATATTGTGTAATGTTGTGTAATATTGTGTAATGTCATGTAATATGGTGTAATATTGTGTAAGGTGGTGTAATATTGTGAAATATTGTGTAATATTGTATAAGGTGGTGTGATATTGTGAAATATTGTGTAATATTGTATAAGGTGGTGTAATATTGTGTAATATGTTGTAATATTGTGCAATATTGTGTAATGTTGCATAATATGGTGTAATATTGTGCAATGTGGTGTAATATGGGTCTAATTACAGACTCAAATTTGGACCAGTCGGGTGATTGGTCCAATTTACAAAATCTGAGCTGAAATGTAGTCAAATCACGAACCAATGGCCGAACGTGTCCATTTTGATTCGGGATCCTAGATTCCATGTGTGTGGCGCTAAACAGTAATTGAAAGCTAGGGGGCAGTAACTAAATGCTGATTTTATTCACAGATCAAGTGAGAAGCGACCAACAGAGGGGAAACAGGAGGAGCAGAAAAAAAGAATCTCTATGCATTACGTTTAATAAATATAAACTTTTTTATGAATGTTCCTCCTGTTTTCCCTCTGTTGGTTACTTTTCTCATTTGATCTGTGAATCAAAGAGCAGAAAATGCATCAATATATATTTCACAATGCACTGATTGTCCAGGTTTTGAACTTTTGGTTCTTCTGATATGTTGAATTGGGTTTTTAATACTCAAATTTCTCACTCATAAAATATACAAATCTCGTTGCACTTATTGTAGTATAGTTCAATTGCCACTAGATGGAGCTGTTAATTTACAAATACCTACATTGATTGCATTTATTTTACATAGTTACATAATACATAGTTACACAGATGAAAAGAGACTTTCTTCCATCAAGTTCAGCCTTCCGAACATTTGCTTTTTGCTGTTGATCCAAAAGAAGGCAAAAAAACCAAGTTTGAAGCACTTCCAGTTTTGCAACAAACTAGGAAAAAAAATTCTTCTAGACCCCAGAATGGCAGTCAGATTTATCCTCGGATCAAGAAGCTATTACCCTACATTGAAAACTTATACATCTGTATGGACTCTGATAAAAGCACTTCTTCAGGCAGAGAATTCCATTTCCTTACTGTTCTTACAGTAAAAAAAACCTTTTATTTGCCTTAGACAAAATCTTCTTTCTTCCAGTCTAAACGCATGGCGTCGTGTCCTATGTAAAGTCCGGTTTGGGAATAGATTTCCACACAATGGTTTGTATTGGCCCCGAATATATTTCGCTTCCAACATATATCTATATTGCCGTCTAATGAATTATGCAGACCTATAATTCACAGTATTATAAAATGCATGTGTCTGATGATGCGCTCCAGCTGTGCTGTCCCCGGATGATTTCAATTTGGACAACGGGACAGGACTCCCAAATCAGGACTGCCTTGCAAAAAGCCTAACTGCTGGGAGCCTGGCAAAACACACACTAAAAGATAATATACACTAAGGATCTATGCATGTATTACACACTGACATCATCTCAAAATACATTCATTGCTATCATCCAATATATATTGTTATTATTATTTACAAAGCGGCAACAAGGTCCCCATCAATAGGTGGACTAACAGACAAGTATTTGGCCAAATGGCAGGATATTTTGCAGTGCACTGAATTTTGCACTTTTTGTTTTTCTGAATTGTTTCTGAATCAAGTTTTGGTACTGATATTCGAAATACATTCTCATTAATAAAATATACAAATCTGCATTGCACGTATTGTAGTATAGTACAATAGCCACAAGATGGAGCTATCAACTTACACATACATACATTGATTTCATTTATTTTACATATTTACATTATACATCTATCTATATTGCCGTCTGATGAATTATGCAGACCTATAATTTACTTATTACACACTTGATGTAGAATTATTAAAATCTTTATTAGAACCTGTATTGAATTATTGTACTAACTCCATTTTTAATCTCACACTATGACAGAATTCTCCATTTTGTTCACCTTACATGACAGAATTTCCTGACAGTATTCAGTATAATGAATAAGAGATTGTATTTTCTCTCTCTAAGGACATAACTAGCCGCGGAGTTAGCGGATCTCCGTTGACTTGCAACATAGTATAATCCAAGGCCAGGAGAACAGCGACTAAATGAAATGTTCTATTCATAAAAGAACCTTGGACCAGACCACGAGACTGACATCACTAACTGCGTAAAATGACGCCCAAGCCCCCCTTTCCACCGAGTAAGCCTCGTGCTAAAGAGCAATGGCGACGACATCCCATGATGGGAGGGTGCCTCACTAGTCACTCAAATCTCTGAGCCAATTAATAATATTAATGGGTGGACACTGACATAGCCACTTAACATTTAACCCAATTAATGATGTTTATTTGTTATTATCTGATATTCAATGATGATGTCATTTTGCATATAAAAAGGCCTGCGTGCCCGCTTTTTAACTAGATGCTAATAAATTTCCTGAAGTGTTTTTAACCTGAACTGCATGTGTCAGTGTGAACTTACTTCTGCGTATACGCAATTTATTCATCTCAGATTTGGACAGGAACAGATAGACTTTTAAACATTTTTGTTTATTTCTAAATTAATCTACATCACACTGACATCATCTTAAAATACTTACATCACCATTATACTCTATGTATTATTATTTCAAAGCGCCAACAAATTCAATGGGTGGACTAACAGAAACGTATTTGTAACCAGACAAGTTGAACACACAGGAACAGAGGGGGCTGAGGGCCCTGCTCAATGAGCTTACATTATAAATCGATGACACATTATTACAATACACACTTTGTGTTACAAAAAAAACAAAACACTCATCTTTCACAAACATGAATGAACAACACAATAACAAAATACTCTCATATCTACTCTGCCCTACCGTCGAAGCAGAATTTGTAGCTGTAATTTTAGGTGTCGTTTTCCCCAGAAAAGGGTAATCTCCCAAAAATCTGTCCTCCAAGTAAATGCTGTTAGTCCAATAAAAAGGTCTTAAAACATGCTAATTTAATCTGTTATTTTACCCCAATTAAATAAATCTACCATATATTATACACCAATATATCTATATTACATGTCAATAAAATACGTTATGCACTTTCTAAATTGCAAACAATTAAACATTGAAAATACACACATCTGTATTAAATAAT